AAATCAAAATATATAAAAAATTAAAAATAAAACAAAATAAAAAAAAAGTTTATCAGCATAATTTGATTTATAACTAAAAATTAATTACTCAGTATAATATCTTCTAATAATGTATATAATCATTAGTATATTGGTTTATATCATAGTCATATATTTATTAATTATATAAACTTTATTATATCAGCTTTATTTTTAGTTTATTTTTTAATTTTTAGTTTATCATTAAGCTATCTTCTTATGATATAAGGCTGATATTTGTATGATTATATTAGCTAGTAAACAATCTTCTAGCTGATTGTATAATGTTTGTTTTGTTATATATCAGTTATTAATCATCTTATCATATTAAAAAATTTCGACCTGTATAATTATTAGTTGTCCACATATCAGTTGTTACTGCTATATTACCAGGAATATTTTGCAATTTTTCACTAAGTTTCTCATATTCATTGTTAAAATCACATGATATATGTCTTCTTACTAAATCAGCTAAAGGTGCTATAAAAAAAAAATTTAATTTTTATTCTTAGTATCAAATTGTAACTAACGATATCACATTATACCTTTTGCATAAGGATCTAAATATTCAAATATCAATCTAAATTCCTTATCCTCGATTATTTGAAATGGCCAATTACATTTAATAATTCATTGTTTAATAAGGTTAATAAATTTATTTTTATTAAAAGGTTCATAAGGGTTATCACTAATCTAATATATACTATTAGGTCTTAAATCACAAAATATATTTTTTTAATCCACTATATATATCTAAAAACTTACACTTTTATGATTATTTAACATCTCAATAACAGAAACACTATCCTTCTTTACATATAACTCTTTTAATTCAGGTACTTTGTGTTTATATATCTTGAGGTGCTTTTTAAGATTTGATGTAGTTCCATCTTGATATGCTAATTTTCTATTACAGAGATTATATATCATATGATCTGTTTTTTTTTTAAAGTAATTCTATACGAAAGATCTATGAATATATATCAAATAATTTATTTTATATGAGTGTCGTCAAGGGAAAACCTGTTATCAGACTTTTAACTATATTTTGTATACAGTTAGTCATCTATAGAAAATCTATCATTATGATAGATTTTTTATAGACGACTAACTATATACAAAATATAATTGAAAGTCTGATGACAAGTTTTCTCTTGGCAGCACTCATATAATATACGTCAAATATTTTATATATTATAGTTCCATAATTTAATTCCACAAATCCATGAATTTTATCTGGTATGCACAATGTTACTCTTACTAATACATGTTAAAGATGATTTACTAGCTTTAGATTCATTTAAAGTGAAGGAGCTTAATTCAAGTTCTTTAGATTCATAACAAGAAAGGGTTTGTCTATATTCTTTAGGTTTGTTATGAGAAGAAGTTAATTCATATTCTTCAGATTCCTTACAAGATTTAGACAAGGTTGACATTTACAATTACTCATTTATAAAAATAGATAGAAAAGTTTTCACTAGGTAGCTTTAATGAAAATATTTCATAGCAAAAAAAAAGCTTTAAAGAATAATGCATTGTATACATCATGAAGTAATTATAATACAATGAAAATTGACAATTTTAAAGTATATTACAACTAATTAGTGCATACGATTCAAACGGATCCAAACGGGTATATCAGATCCTTAAGCGGATCCAGATTCATAAAATCATAAATCTGGATCCGATCCGATCTATCAGATCCAGATCTCTGCAGAGCACTAGTTGTCTAAGTTTAGAATTTAGTTAATGTTGCTGGAAATCAGATAATGCTGAGCATTAAAGAAGTTCATTTTGATTGGTTGTTATAATACCTCGGAAAAAATGTAGATTATACTCTAAATAGATTATTGGCTATACTTGGATAAAGATAAATGTTAATACTCTCTAAAGACGCTTTTACAGTATTTTAATTCAGTACATTAATTCAGTTTAATAATAACTGTTTTAATTCAAATTTCATGATGTATATATCTGTATTATTT